ATTTGTGATGGCTTTATATAAGACTTAGAAAGGACTATTTTTTCTTAGTACCACAAGTTTTCTAATAGATTTTCATACACAGAAAGAAAGATACCTCCCCTGTTACTGTACTTCCACTTAAAGAAAAACATTGATCACCGTCTGTCTTGGGATCCTTCTCTGTATTCACTTTAAAGCAATAAATACTGGAAACAGTCTCCTGATGGACTTCTGTTGCCATTTAATAAAATTATATATATCAATAAAAATAATTTAATTATTCATCTGAAAATACAATTGACTAGGTCATAACTTTTATCCCTATGTTGCTTATCACTGAGACATTTCCTTTTGCTTTTCATTATGAGATTTGGTAGTAATGTGCCAAAGGTATTGATGTTCCTATTAATACAAGATACAAAGCATACAGAATTCATTACTAAAGCTTCCAAATTCTTGCAGTGAATTTGTTTGAATTGCCTATTGAAAAGGCAATTTTAGGAAGTGCTATTCAATGAATACCCTACCAATCTGTTAATATAATTTGTGTCATGTGGCTAGATCAAGCATATTTTGGTTTGGGGGGGGCGGGGGTGGTTTCAGGGTTGAAATTTATGAACCTGTTCCACCAGACCTGTGCAGAACAGCTGGCCGATGCAAGTGATCTGGCAGCTTATTGCCACAGAAACAGTGGTCTGGATCTCACTGTGCCTACTGGACATTTTCCTTGAGAAGTCTTGAAGGGTCAGCTGAGCCTTTGGGAAAGCCAATACAAATCCTTAAACAGCAAATTCAGGAAAGCAAACCGGGAAAAAAAAAAATCAAAAAAACCCCCACAGCAACAAAGCCAGTACAATGGACCAGGATCAGTTCCGTGAAGGAGCTCAGTGAGCTGTCTGCCAGCTTTTCCGCCGGGGCGGGCGCGGCGCCCGGACGCTCCAGCGGGGAGCGCTCTGCCGGGGATGGACGCTCCCGCAGAGGGGCGCTGTCCCGCGGGATGCGCGTCTGTGCCGCCCTGTCGGGGGTGCGGGGGCACCCCTCCTCTGGCGCTGGGGGAAAGTGATATCTGGAGAGGCCTCTGAGCAACAAAAGGGTACAGAAAAATACTGGCGCTTTATAAGAAATAGGTCATCCATAAGAACCTCGACATGCAAATAGGTAGAAGGAAGCAAGTTTCTAAAATTTTACATAAGGTAGATGAAAAAGTAGAGAGTTTTAAGCCTTCCCTTGTCTTTAGCCTGTACCTTAGCACCTTGGCAGGCAAGCTTTTACTTTGAAATAAGTAACACTTTGTCAAAACAACACACACTGCAACAAACTGATTATATCCATCGAAGGATTGCGAATATTGGATGTTACTCCTTTAACAGCAGAGAAACAAGAGACACATTCTATTTGGGTTGGCTTGGGTTTTGTTGATTTTGTTGTTGTTGTTGTTTTATTTCGTTTTGGTTTTGCCTAAAAAAAAACCCAAACAAAACCAACAAACAAAAACCTTAATAGGATGGCATACTGGAAGGGTAATTTGCTAGCCTCAGACATACTGATGGCCTTTAAATTTACTGTAAGTATTCACAAACAAGACTGAGAAGTACTTGTGTGTAGCATTATGAAAACATCTTAACACAAAACGGCAATCAAAAAACACTTGCAAGATATCCAATTGCTTAAGAGGGGATACTGACTAACCATGACAATACTGTGATGTTGCTATACACAGTCTTCTGGTTTATTGTCATAGGAGTACCAAGTTCAGATACTGTTTGAAATCTATCAAAACATCACAGAAAACCTACCTCAGGCAGAAGAGACAGAGGAGATTGGCAATAAATATCTTCAGGCATATGGAAGGAAGAAATTGAAAACTGGAATAGATTAGTGCAAAGAATATTATGGAGTTGATAAAACAGAGCAGTAGTTTCCCAGTCTTTGCTGTCTTATAAGCAAGAATACCAAGATGCAGGTTGTTTAATACTACCTTTTCTCCTTCTATCAGTCTCACTTTTAATTTCCTGTGGCAGTAAGCAACATTAAAATGTCTCACAGGCAGGTTGCTATGAACCATGCACTGGAGACTACTTGGATAGAGGAATATGAGATTATTAGTGCTACAGAGGAGGCTTATCAGGAAGTATCTGTCCAGTATTAGGTAACAGTATGGATAGCATCTACAGAAAATAATTACCTGTATGGGCAATAATGATGTCTGTCATTTACTGATAGTTCTTATTAGGATAAAATATTTATAAAGGTCATTTCACATTTCAAAACAAAAGCCAACCACTGAGGTCTGGAAGCCAATCGAGGTCTGGAAAGAAACTTCCTCATAGGTTTATTATGTAATTGTCCATAATGGGGTTCTTCTGACTTCCACTAAGTCATGAAGCAAATGGGTAAAATAGCATGTAATGGCTTTCTGCTGATGCTGGATTCAGGACTAGATGGCTTATCCATTAAAAATCTGAAGATACTTAGTAAAAATTTTAAATCATGTTATGTCAATAAGAGTGGTACATACAGATTAAACTTACGATCCCTGGGGTGTCTTTTCTCATTAAAAATGCAAAATTAAATGACAACTCTACATTTGAGGTACACGCTGTGTTCATGCCTTCTACAATGAGCATATAAAAGGATTAAGAAAGTTTAGTCAAGACTTCATCTACTGCAGAATGTTACAGTTTTTAATGGAATGGTGTGCCCTCAATTTGGGGGTGGATTTGATTCAGTTTAACTAAAGGCTGGAAATTCACTGAGCTGTTCCAACCCTTTCTGTAAGATTCTTGAAGAGAGTTGCTGTGGATTTGAATACCGTGTACAAAACACCCATCTAATATTTCTTGTGATTTTTACCATACATTCATCTTCTGTCTTTTGGACCTGGCATTTAGAAGAAAACTCTGCTATCTTGAGAATTATTTTCTTGAAGAACCATGCCCCCCCGCCTTTTGTTGCCTTTTATTGTCTCTGTAATTCAATGGTGGTGCAGTGGCTAAACCACAGCGTTGTCAACGCTGAGATCTGGGTTCAATTCCCGGTTAGGACACTCCCCGGGCAGATGGAGCTCGTTAGCCCTGTAAGGCAATCCATCTACGTCCTGAGGACCTCGCTGCCACCGTCCAAGCGTGCTTGGCCCCGGCAGATGAACCTCAGGATTAAAGGGTGGGCTCAGTTCCGCGCACACTGTGTCTCACCTAAAAAATCCAACGCGCAGGCTGGAAGGTGGAAAGACCTTCCCCGGTTCTTCGTTCGCGAAGAGACTGGCCATTATAGTCTGCATTATAATTCAATCTTTAGAAATTTTTATTGCATTTAACATTAATGCATTCATCTGGAACCAGAACATAAAACAGATGAATATATAGATACAGGTATATACATACAGGTTTTAAAATAGAAAATATGCTTTGAATGAAATATAATCTACTATTAATAGCTGGGACTACAGAGTTTTGACTAAATAATAATACATGACTAAAAGTCATGTATTAATTGACTAGAATAAAAAAAAATCCAAGTCATCTTAACCATTTTTATACATTATACATAAATGTAGATGTAAAATGTAGATCTATGTGGAAAATCATGCATTTTTTAAAGTAATGATTTTTTTCATGCTCGAAAAAATTGATTGAATATATTATTTTCCTGATTGGTTTATTCTTTTTATTATTCATCATGTAGTCTTACTTTTTATGACAGATAAATTCTTACCCCCTTACTTAATTCGTATTATCAGTATGTAGATAAAGTTTTAGGAAAGTGCATGCAAATTTCAAAACAGGTGTCAGCGGGTACTGGAAAGAAGATGGAGAGTGATGTGCCCTTCTATCCACTACATAGGCTAGTACGTGTTTCCCAGCAGATTGGGCAACATTCCTAGATACAAGTAGCTTAATATGGAGGTGGCCAGAGGAAGCGCAGGTGTGGGAATTTTGTGCGGAGCTTATGAATCCACAAAAACTGAAGGCGTGTCATTGCATTCTGCCCTATTGTGTGCCATCGCCCCGGGGGCTACCGGAGGCTACGTGGGGACAGCTTTCAGGGACTGAGCCTGAGGCAGGGGCTGAGTGGAGCATCGTCCGCGGCGGTGCCGTTCCCTGAGGTGTCCCAGCGCGTCCCTGCCGAACGCACGGCTTTGCTTTCCCCTGCAGGGCCGGGTGTTGGGGCGCTAAAGCTGCCCGACGCCTGGCAGCGTGCATGTGTCCCCGCTCTGCTTTCCTGCTTTCCCACTCCGGCCAAAGCTGGAGAAGGCATTCTCCCTTCCCTTTCTCCTTCTCTCATCTCCGCCAGTGCCTTACAACCCAAGTCAGATCTCTTAGGATGGGAACTAAATAAAAATGTGTGCCCGCAACTGCAAACAAAGGAAGCGAAAGCAAACACGGCGGTAGGGAAGGCGCTGCTTGGCAGGACAAACCGGAGCAGGCAGAGTTCCTCGCGGCCATTTGGTGTGAGAATCCGCCCAGTCTCTCCCCGCGCCTCCCCGCCCCTGCCCTCCGCCGCTGTGGGGAGCGGCACAGCGCGGGCGGGGGTTCCGCTCCCCCGGCCGCTCTGCACTGGCGCTCGGCGGCGCGGGGAGAGAGCGGGAGCGACGGCGGGAGACGGGACGCCATATTCCTGCACCACGCCCGCAGAGCCGATCCATTTAAAAGCCGGTCAAGCGCGGCCCCTGCCAGTCCGCTCCCTTCCTTTTCGTCACCGCCGCTCTCTCGCCCACACGGGCCCGACCGAGCCGAGCACCGGCAGGTCCCTGGCAGCGCCCCCCCCTCCCCCCTCCCGCTGGAGAGGCGAGCGGCCGCGGTGCCGGGGAGGAGGGGCGGTCGCGGCGAACGTCTTCCTGCCGGGCAGCAGCGGTCTCGCCCACCCCGCAAGAGCCGGGCTCCCGCTCCGGGGGCGGGGAGCGGCGGGGAGATGTGTGCGTGTGCGGGGCGGGATTAGCGGGCATTAGCACTTCCACGGGAGGTGGGGTGGTCGCATCGGAGGGCGGCGGGGGTGTCGGCGGCCGCCAGGGACACTAAGGGACCGCGCAGGCTGCGGGCGGCGCCGAGGGAAGGGAAGCAGCGGGGCGAGGGGCGGCTCGGCTAGGTAGCGCTGCTGCTGCCGCCGCAGTGGATGTTTCCATGTTGCTCGGTGCTTGATTTAGAGGAGAGGAGGAGTTGTCAGCTGCAGGGAGCAGGGATCCGCGCCGCCAGCGGCCCTGCCTTTCTTCTCCCCCCTGTGTGGCATCGAGGCGGCTCCGCCTGCCCGCCTGCCCTGCGGCGGCCCCCGGGCTCTCGGAGAGTGCCTCTGCCCCCCGGGGCCGGAGCGGCGGCGGGGTGCGTGTGTGCGAGTGTACGTGCGGGTTTTAGGGGGGCTGGGGGCTGTGTCTGAACCAGTTAGGAAGAATGACTCTGGAGTCCATCATGGCGTGCTGCCTGAGCGAGGAAGCTAAGGAAGCCCGGCGGATCAACGACGAAATCGAGCGGCAGCTGCGCCGGGACAAGAGGGACGCCCGCCGGGAGCTGAAGCTGCTGCTGCTGGGTGAGTGCGGGGCTGCCGCCGCCCGGCTCGGCCTGCTCGCCTCGGGCCGTCGCCGTCGCGCACGCCCCAGGTGCCGCCGGGGCTGCAGCCCGGCGATCGCCATCGCCCCGGGCGCCCTCCAGCCGACGCGGTCCGTGGCGGGGGGCAGGCAGTCGGCAGCGGGCGGGTTGGCGGCGATGCCCGCGGTGCCCCCAGGCGCTCGCCGCCCTCGCCGCGGGGAGCCACAGGCCGAGCACCCGCGGCGGGGAGCGGGGCGTTTGTGTCCGCCCGCGGGCTTCGCCGGCGGGGTGGGCTCGGTGTGGGAGGGGAAGCGGCGTTCCAAAAAGGAGAGGGGACGGATGGCGGGTGAGTGACAGGGTGCGGGGCTCGGGGCAAATGTCGAGGTGTGTGGGGGAGCGATGGCAGCGAAGAGGCTTAGGGAAGGGACTCGCAGGGCGAGTCGCTGTGCAGATCGATGGTGGCGAGTGTAGTATCTGCATTGTTCCGTGAGCTTCGGGAAGGTTGTTAGCTCACCGGTTGCATTTTCTTATTGTGATTTTTATTTCATGAGGCAAAGTGGGTGCTCGGCGTGTGCACCAGCTTGTATAAAGAAAAGGGAGCCGTAAAGGCCTAGATGCACAAGCCTAGCTGAGAGGGAACCTGAAGTGTGCAGGATGATCACAGGATCTTTAATACCGTCGGAATCCGCCCACTGGTCAGGAAATTCAATCTACTTTATCGTTTCTCATTAATTAAAACAGAGCTTGTTTTTTAAGAGCTGCAAGTATGCAGAGACAGCTTTTATCTAATAACGTTAAAATAAGCCTTTTGAATTAAAATACACCTGCCCGTGTCCAGTGTGATGTACTATGTGTAATATGGTTTCTGCGTGGGACTCACAGGCCTTGAAATACGTTTTCACTGCTGTCTGGTGTGTGGATGAGAAGGGATGTTGCAAGTGCATGCGGGATGTTTACGGTGAACATTATTTGTCTTGGGTCATGTAGTGGTTTATACTGGGGGAGTAAACTGCCTTTTCAGTGAGGAAAGGCAAGTTGAAAGAAGTCCGAATATGTTTTAGTGCTTCCATACAAACACGCTATTTCCTGCAGCTTGTCTTCTGGATATGGAGAAGGCTGTCGGGATCATTTAGCTGTGTGGGAGGGGTGTGGTGAACATGGATGCAGCACTTGCAGTAATAACGTTCTGTCTCATTTTGGCCTGGTTTTGGTTTTTGTCAGTGCATGTTGTGACTTTAAGGATTCGCAAAGAAGATAAAATTCCTTGCCCTGGCTTAATATTGTCATGGATGTTTAAGTATGATTAATGACCTACAGTTGCTTCAGGAGAGGCAATTCGTGGATTTGACTTGTTACTTGGGTCCAAATTGTTTCTCTATTTTCCTGATTTTTCTTGCAGTAGTGCTAGAGACATCTCTCAGATTTTCAGAGATATATGGAATTTACCAAACAAGACCAGTATATATTCCCTAGAGAAAGAATTCAGAGATCACTTCTGCAATCAGGAATGCAGAGCTTGTGCTGCTTCACAAGGTCCTCCCACTGCTAAACAGTTATGGCATTGCTTTGGACCAGATGGTACTTGATGATTTGAGGGAGAATAGAGGAGAAGCCAACCCCTAGAAATGGTTAGGGAAAACTCTTTTGAGTGCCTGTGTAAAAGATTTTTGCATTCATCATCAGTGCCAACTTCCAACAGGCTTGTGAAGGCATAAGCATAAGAGGGGTGAACTTCGGCTGCTCGTACTTTATAGTGTATCTTTATACTTGGGTAATAAAACTAGTACAGAAATTGTTACTGTGCACACATTTTTTGCCTTTTGTCAGCTTCTGTCATATGTTAGACTGAAACTGCTTGTGCACATTTGGAGTTAACACTTAATGACCTTGTCTTGTAAAATGCGGTGTGGTGGTGAACCACTCTTGGAGTCTTTGTATCGGGTAGGGATTCAGGATTCAATGTCTAAACAAATTTTAGGAAAACTTCTTTCATTAGTGGGGGTTTTTGCAATTCTTTTGCACATCAGCATTTCATTTTTGAGTCACTTCCATTGCTTCCTCAGCATAGGCAATTGCTCAGTTGTTAAGTTTGTGTGGGTAATTCATATAAGACAGACAAAACCATTTAAAAACAAAAATGTATTCATTAAAAATGCTAAGGCTGGTAGTGTGAAAACCATCTGAAGCTGCTTAATGTCATTTGGGTTTTTTTATATCCAGTAGACCTTTACTGTCTCATTACATCTCTTACACCCTTACTTTTAAGGGGAAAAATCATTAGTGTAAACATAAGCAAGCATGTTTGGTGGGTTTTGGTTTTTTTATTTGGTGTTTTTTGTTTGGTTTGGTTTGGTTTTTTTTTAATTATTTTGTTTTGTTTTTTTGGTCAGAAGTGCCAACTTCCCAGTGTGTAAAGTATAGTGGGTCTGAAAAGTGGGTTAAGGGCTTTTAAATATGGGAGTGAAGGATATCCTTTGGCTCATAAAAAGAGCACTAGCACAATTTAAGCAGAGCCTTGTTAAGTGACTATACGTGTTCTTCACACTTGTTGCAAGTGGTAAGTAAAAGGTATTATGAACTCAGAAGGTTCTAAGGCACAAACAAGTGTATCTGTGCCAGGTTGTTTTCTTAGACTTGTTTAAAAATTAGATGTATACACATAAAAATGTACATATGTTGCAAACATTTAAAAAAATGTAACATTTTTAGATCAGGAGAAGTTTTTTTCCTCCTTAACTTGTGAAAGAGAGAGTGCTTTCTTGGAAAATTAGTTTTCTCCTAATTGTTACTGCCTGACACAGGCAGTGTGCTTGATACACCACTTTATGTGTTAATGATATCTTTTTACTTTTCATGGAATCAAAGAGTCCAAAATCTGAAGTCATTTGCAGAAAACATCTACTGTGTCCTGAGATTAATTATAGGTATTCATTTAAAAATAAACATTTGATGTGATTAAAGATTAAAATAGCACTTTTAGATACTTTATTGTACATCACTGCTTGCTTTTTTGAGCAGATTAGGAAAAGTATTTTTTTGCTGTTGTAATTCTGGAAAGCCAGAATCAATAAATATGCACTGAAGGCATATTATATAGTAGCTGTTGTTCAGCTAGCATAAGTTGGCTATAGTGTTTCAAGGCACTTTGGAACAGATTCAGTCTTGCACTGAATTTGGTTTTAATCTCCTTTATTTTCCAAACTCTTCTGGATTTCATTACTTCTGAATACTTTGCAAAACTTGATGATTGTTCTCCAGAGCTTACAGTTGTTAGTATCCATCCATTGTTTGCTGTTAGCTGTAAAAACACATTGTTTTTGTAATTAGGAGGGAAAAAAAAAAGGTGTTTAATGTTTTATATTAGCATATGTGAATGTATGCTTCCTGCTTGTACTATAGGCATATATATATATATATATATATATATATAGGCATATATATATATATTCATTTTTAAGCAGAGAAGTCTATCTGCTGTAGTTCTACAGATATAATTTTTCCCTGTCATTCATAGAACTTTTGCATGGTCTCAGAAGGCAGCATTTGAGCCTACATGATAGATTGTTGCCATAAACCATCAATCCTAGATATCTTCTGCCTGTAGACTCTGTATATTAATATTATACACTATTCTTTCAGTGGGAAATGCCTTGAGTACCTAAGAAAATAATCTGCCAGTATTGTGCTAGCTGTGCCTACATAAGTGCAGACCCTGGTCAGATGAAGTACTGGAGGTGTGTTTGACAGTGCTACTTTGCAGCATTTTTGTTGATGTGTGTCATAGGCAAAGTGTATTTTTTTAAGGGATAGGTGGTGTCTCTTATGTTGAAGATAGTACATATGTCAGTGAAGAACCTTGCCTGATATGAGTGTCCTATTCTCTGTGTGATAGCAAAGGAAATAGGTGGATGATAAGCCATTTGAATTGGCACGAACAGCAGTCTTATGTGAAAAGATGCTTTTAAACATAAGGTGAACGTATGCATTATTTCATAAAGCTGTGCCAGCAGAATTGAAGGTTTACATGCAGAACTTGGTATTTTCACGTAGACTTAGGCTTTCTGTAGATACACTGAAGAGAAAGTGGGTCCATCAAGCCAACAACTGCAAACTCTGGTTTTATATAACTTCTTCTTCAGCTGGAGAAGCAAGCAAGCTTCCTTATTCTTCCTGTAGTGTGTATTTGTATCAGTCTGCCCTACGCACACCGAACTCTTTCACATAATTTAGGTAATTGACACAGTACATATTTACAACTGTTAAATGAACAACTAGTTAACCTACATCTTGATAGGTGTTGTAAGTAGATTGCTAAACATCTCTTGCTTAGCAGAAGCTGTTTCAGAGGAAATACAATTTCATTCTGGATGTAAAAACCTTGATATGTTCTTATGTAGGCATATATGTCCATATATAAAAATATCTTTTTTTTTTTTTTCTGTTAGGAAAATTCAAATAATTATTTGGATATCTGTGTGATAATGTGAAGAACATTTATTTAGAAAATAATTAGGAATATATTTATTTTTACTGCCTCACAAGAGGATATTTTGCTTGCAGCAATTGAAAAGGGTTTGTTGCTGTTTTATTTTTACTTTCTGAGAAGTGATCTACATCCACTGAAGTTAATAGGAACTAGTTGGTGGTCTGAATAATAAAAGAATTCAGATTAAGTTAATTTTATTTAAATGTCAAAGAGCCAGGTGATCCCAAGTTTGTGTGTTACACTGACAAACAATATGTAGGATGAAAAAATACGTGTTGAGCAGGAAAATCTTTTGAGAATGGGCATTTGACTGTGTGCTGCAAGTTAAGAAATAGTAATTCTGCTACTTTAGTTGCCTCTAATTGGTTTTTCTGGTGTATAGTGGTAACAGCAATTTCATAGGGAAGAGCACTTCCTTGCAATCTCTGCAAAATTAATGCTGGGGAGGTGTGAAATATAAAGTAAGGTAAATATGTGATTAATGGTGATCAGCTTTGCTGCAGTCATAGAGTGCT